GAGAAACCTGAACAAAGCTTGTAACAAAGCAGAAGTCTATAACACATATAAAAAATTGAAATGGCAATGAGATATCACCCTATAACTTTTAAATGAGTTATTATCAAAAAGACAAAGGATAAGTATTGACACAGACAGGAAGAAAAGGGAACCCTCATACACATTGTAAATTAACAGAACAATTAAGGAAAACATTATGGAGATTATTCACACACACACGCATACAAAAATAGACATGCCATATGAATTAGCAATTCCACTTCAGGGTATATATATCCAAAGGAAATGGAATCATATGCCAAAGAGATATCCCCATGTTGATATTTACTACAGCATCATTCACCATAGCCATGATATGGAAATAATGTAAGTGTTCTCAATGGATCAGTGGATAAAGAAAATGTGAGATGTATACATAATGGAATACTACTCACCTTAAAAATGAAGAAAACACATCATGTGTGGCAACATGAATGAATTTGGAGGAATTATTTTACATAAAATAAGACAGGTACAAAAAGACAAAAACCTTTCCATCTCATTTTTATGTGAAATCTAAAAAAGTTGTACTCATAAGAAGCACAGAGTATAATAGTTTCTAGAAATTGAGTTACTAGTGGGAGGTGGGAGGGTAGTTGGGGAGATGTCCTTCAAAGGATACAAACTTTCTGTTAAATAAGATTACCTGTCATTCCAGTGTGGCTAAACTGAGCGTGAAATTTATTTTTTCTGTTTATGTTGTTCTTCTCTTATTCCTTTTGCAGGCAGGTGAAAGTTACTTGGGACCCCAGATTCTAGTCTCTTACTAGTAACAAAGCTTGGTGATCCTGGCAGACCTAATGCTCTCCAATAGGGTCATTTGTATACTACACTCCCAGGGGCTTAACCCTTAGTTATTCAGCCCTGGATGAAGGTAACAAGTAAGGATGGTACATGTAGCTGCAACACAGCTTTGGAAAGCTTCTTTCTTTCCCTTTGAGCCAGAGTCAACTGAACTTGTCACTTTTGATAAAACAGAAAAATGAATTTTAGGAATATATGGGCCCCATATTTGACCCCCTAGTAAATTCTTGCCAGCACTAGATGTTGGCCCTCCTTCCTTTTTTTTTTTTTTTTTTTATTGTTTGAGGCTTTTATGTCCCTTCTTTTGAGCCCATCTTCAGTTCTTCTGGATCCAGCTGTCAGACACAGTCCATTGGATTTTGTTTGTGATTATGGTACCAGCTTCCAGGGAGGTGAAAGGAGGGGTCTGGTTCAACTATGGTGGGTTTGGAGATCTCTGTTGTGCTTTGAATGTAAAAGGGAAGCATTGGTTCTTTCTCAGTGTACCCTAGAAATTTTTTGTATAAATCTGTGACTTAGAAAAAGATGATTTTTATCTTTGTGGTATAGCATAGACTATATAACTGAAAGTACACTCTAATTTAATGTGAGTGTTTTATGTGTTTTTAAAAGAGCCACCAGAAGCTCAGGAGGCTGAAGCAGGAGGATCACAAATACAAAGCCAGACTCAATAACTTATCAAGGCCTTGAGCAATTTAGCAAGACCCTATCTCAAAATTTTAGAAAAAGGGGGCTTGGGATGTGACTTAGTAGTTCAGTGCCTCTAGGTTCAATCCCTGGTATAAAAAAAAAGTAAGAGACAAATGCTCTCTCTGGTTCACTCTGAATGACCCTAAGAGACTAGAGTCTCAACAAATTGTCAAGATGAATAGCCTATTATGTTTTGCAGCCTCATAAGATTCCATAAAAAAAATCTTATCCCATTTGTGAGTTGAAAGAAACACCTGGTCTAGGAGATGAACATAAGGGCATGGTTACCCTATATCTTGAGCTCCCCATGCATCTTGATGTTTACAGCCCACTGATGACACACTGGGAAGGAATCCCTAGAAGAAGTACATTTATTGGTCCAAAACACTTCCCAAACTACTAACCCTTGTTCCAGTCATCAGACAATACTCTAACAAAAATTGGGCAATGTTTAATTAATATTTGCCTATGTAAACTGCCCCCAAAATTCCTAGAAAGAACTTGAGGCTATCCATGGTCACTTTATTTTTCTGTTCTTTTGAGTTCATGGGGTTTTTTCCTGGTGAAATCGCTTTTGGGTTCTGCATGCCTACATTGTATATTTTTGTTGTTGTTGTTTGTTTGTTTGTTTGATTGGAGGCTTTTAGCTCTCCATCTTATTGTTGTCGGGCGTGGTGGAGCACACCTATAATCCCAGCAGCTCAAGAAGCAGAGGCAGGTGGATTATGAGTTCAAAGCCAACCTCAGCAAAGGCAAGGTGCTAAGTGCTAAGCAACTCCGTGAGACCCTGTCTCTAAATAAATTACAAAATAGGGCTGGGTATGTGGCTCAGTGGTTGAGTGCCTCTGAGTTCAATCCCTGGTATCTTAAATAAGTAAATAAATAAATAGAGATAGACATTTATTAAATGATTGATATTTTAGACAATTCTGCTGGAAGTCACTGAAAAATTAACTTTCAGACTGGAAATTCAAGATTTATATAAAGACTTTCATATATAGCCATATAATAAGTAGCCTCAACTTGTGTCAGCTTGCCATAAATATAATTTTTATTTAACTCTCTAGTTATAAACCTGGTAAACTTGGTATATTTCTATTTCTTTGACTTATGACTAGAATTTTGCATAAGTAAATTCCTGACACGTTGGTTAATATAAATTTATTAGAAAGGTACAACAAAGCTATATTCATAACAGTTAACATACTTTCTTTGCCTGGATTTCTAGTCAAACAAGATTGTTACAGCAACTCTTTTTTCCCAACCTTGGAAAAGTCTATGTTTGGTATCTTAAATTTCACAGATAATGTAGAAATAACTATTGGAAATAAAGTAGATAAATATCACTGTGATAAATGTTTTAAGGGATAGAAGTAAAACATCTGAGTCATTTACAAATAAGTTAAAATATGGAACTATCATTTGCTAAGTATAAATTCAAGTAATTTGGTCGGTTAAAAATCTATAAAACAGTAATGTGTTTGGGTTTATAAAATGTGACTCATAAATTGATGGCATTAAAATATTTGTTACGTACTATCAAGAGACATTTAATCTTTAAAGGAGGAAAATACAGGCTGACCTCAATTGGTAAAGAGAAGGTACTCAAGAAAATTTAGCGCTCTTTCCTGATAAACAAACTAGAGAGAGAAGAAAATTACTTAAATGGAATAAAAATTGTATATGAAAATCCAACAGTAAATATTGTAGTTGATAATAAAAAAATTAAGGTCTCTTAAGATCAGGAACAAGATAAAGATGCCTGCTTTCATCACATCTATTCAACATAATACTAGAAGTTCTAATACAATTAGGGATAAAAAAATGGCATAGAAATTGGAAAGCAAGAAGTAAAACCATCATTGTTTACACATGATATGATGTTATATGTAGAACACTCTAAGGAAAACACCAAAAAATGCTATTAGAATAAATGCATTCAGCAAAGTATCAAGATAAAAAAAAACAACAAAAAATTTAGTTGCATTTTTATACACTAACAACGAACAATCTGAAAAGATAGCTACTCATATAATTCAATCTATGACAACACCAAAAAAGAAAAAAAAATACTTAGGAATTAACCAATGAAGTGAAAAACTGGGACTATGAAAACAACAAAACATTAGTGAAAGAAACTAAAGACATAAATATATGGAACCACATTTCACATTCTTGGTTTCAAAAAAATATTGTTAAAATGTGTATACTATTCAAAGTAATCTACAGATCCAATGCAATTCTCATCAAAATTCCAATAATATACTTTACAGAAACAGAAAAATCAGAACTTAAATTCATATAGAGACTCAAGGGACCCAAGAGCAAAACAGTCTTGGAAAAAGAACAATTGTAAAGATCTCAAGCTTTATGATTTCAAAACTTACTAAAAAACTACAGTGATGATAATAATGTGGTACAGGACCAATGACAGAAATATTACAAATGGACAATAATAGGTCAAATAAGATATCCATCTCAATAAGATATACAAATGGCCAATGAGTACATGAAAAGATGTTTCATATCACTAATCATTATAGAAATATAAATAAAAGCTACAATGAGATAACACTTCATATCCATTAAGATGTGTGCTATCAAAACAAGAAAATAAAAGGAAGAAAAAAACAGAAAATAAAAAGTATTGATGATAACATAGAGAAAATGGAAGTCTTGTGAAATTTTGGCAGAAACATATAATGATAGTCATTATGGAAAACATTATGGTAGTTCATATATATATATATATATATATATATATACACACACACACACACACACACACACACACACACACACATACATATATATATTTTTTACTATATTCAGTAATCCCATTTCTGGGTATATACTAAAACTAATTGAAATTGGGGTCTTGTCTTAAAAGAGATATTTTTATCCTTGCATTCACAGTGACATTATTTACAATGGCTAAACTGGGTGAGCCTCCAAATATCCATTGGCTGATGAATGGATAAAGAAAAAGTGACATATACTTACAATAGAATAATATTCAGCCTTAAAAAGAATGAAAGGAAATACTGACTTATGGTTCAGTATAGATCACAGAACTTTATGCTAAATGCAACAAATCAGAAAGAAAAATACTGAAGGATTCCCTCCATGTGAGGTACCTGTAGAGTCACACTCATAAAGAAAGAACTCAGAATGGACCTGGGGGAAGGAGTGAATGGGAGAGCTATTGTTCTGTTCAACTAGTAAAGTTTTACAAGAGAAAAGGGGTCATGGAAACACATGGTAGTAATGGTTGTTCAACATTATGCAGATATTTAATACCACTAAATTATATACTTCAAAATGTTTAAAGTGGGAGTCTTTATTATGTGTAATCTACTACAATAAAAATAATTGGGGAAATATGTATGGTTAGTATACTATCAAAATGAGTGTAACCATAAAAATAACTATTTTAAAATAACTTGAATTTTTGTAGTTCTAATTACCATGTCAGGACCACACATGGTGCCATCTTCTACAAAGGTTTCATCTCTGTCTTCAGGAGTTTTGTAAGTGGTCAACGTATCATGAGCTGGTTTCCGACCAGCAGGATATGTAGATACACACATTTGATCTCGTACATGTGAGTAAATTACAGAAAAATTTGCTCTTGAAATTATCTCCTTATGTGGCCATGTACAAACTAATTTTCCACATAGCATATGACTAGAAAAATAAGGGAAAAATATCATTATTGAAATAACATAGGTAACTCAGAAAAATAAGTTAATAACATATGTTCTCTGTTGTTAGAAAATAAGTAGCTGTGGCCTTCCCTATTTCTTCTAAATTGTTGACTTTCTGTCTTGGTTCCCTACCAAATGTGAAACTATAGCTTATTTTTAATTAACTTAGCATATAGCTAAGTTAAGAAGAATGTTTTATTAATGTAATCCTAGGTCTTCAGCATTTTTTTCTAAATAATATTCTAAAAAATTACCAATGACTTACAATATGGCTCTTTTTGTTTTATGAGGCAATTTAGCAAGAGAAAAATGATTGTTACAGTCTGACAGCCCTTTTCTGCCTTATACTAACTTCTTAAATTTGAACAAGTGATCATTTCAATTTTTCAAACAAAAAAATGGGATGAGTAATTTTTAATACACACATTTGAGATGTATAACTATATAATTTATGTCATAAATATATTATATATATGTAAACTGCCTAATAATATCTATCCCCTTGCAATAATAGAGGTTTTTTATGATTACTTTTATATTATAGGTTCTAAACACATGTTATTATAGGCAGTAAATAATATTGTTTAGCTCAGATAAAGAAACCCAGGCAAAATATGCCATTGTGTTTTGTACAGAAAAGTTTCTATAATTTTAGCAACCTATCACCTACATTCCAAGCATAATTGTAATTTTGTAAATACATACGGAAAACGACAAACGTCCGCGCCACAGTTTCCAAATCTATCAATTCTGGAATTTATTTCCTCATAACAAGCAAATGAACCACCTCTAGAATCTAAAAACAACAACAATAACAACTTGGGTAAATTAGAATTCAGAATTTGGATTATATAATAGAAATAATGTATCTGCTCTGGAAATCATTATTTGATTCTGAAAGAGATGAATAGTTCCCCAGCATTAAAAGGTTGATGATGTGAAAACTAGATTAAAAAGAGAGCTTCTAATTTTAAGTTTGGTGGACTTTGTTCTATATTAAACAGAAAGTAAACAGAAAAATTATTAGAAAGGTTCTATAGTTTTAGGAAAATAAGCAGTGATGGTCCTATTTCTCCTAAAATGATTATTTTGTGTCTTAGTTCCCTGCCTATTGTAAAGATACACTTTACCGTATTAATAGAGGAATACTATCTAGAGTGTAATACTGATAACCAATTCAAAGATCATTAACTCTCTTTAACCCATACTACAGCCCCCATCCCTATTCCCTGGTATCCTAATAATCACCATATAAGAGTTATTGAATTTTAAAACTAAAAAGGACATCAATATTCATCCACTTCAGCTTTTTGATATATTTAATTATGTCTAGTTTTTAAATTGGGAAAAATTCAATTTACAATAGGTGCTCATCACTCTGACATGGTAAATTAGGAGTAACTGGAGATTGGAACATTTTAGGACAGACCCTTGATGACCATAGCTGCATCAGAAGTTACCAGGGTGCATAGTGGAGGGACAGAAAATGTCAAAGGACAATGACAATAGGAACTCCAGTAACCTACTGTGGGAATTCTCTTAGAAGAGATTCAGAGGAAAAGATGCATTTGTAACCCAGTAGGCCTAAGTCAACATTAATGACTGTTGTTTTGTTGTTGTTGTTTGCTTGTTTAGTTCTTTTGTATTGTTTTTGGTTTTGGTTTTCCTTTCCTTTAGTAGTTCAAAGATCCTTGAACAAAATGTACTTATTTAATGGCAGTTGTTAATTCCTTTATGTTTATAACTCACAATACTTTTTCACCATACTTCATTCCCAGAGCAGGTCTGTGATGAAGGTTAGCAGACACCTGTGTTTCTGCCTATGGGTGAGGAAGTCCATTAGAATGGTGTTCACATACAAGAACAACAGACTTTGACTGAGTTCCCCTAAAAAGTCCTCAGAAGACTCAGAAGAGTCAGTCTCTCTCTCTCTCTCTCTCTCTCTCTCTCTCTCTCAATTAACACTTCATGTTAAAACCTCCCTTCCATGTTCGATAGTCTGAGGTTAATTGCTTCTGGGATAGTAATTGTATGTGCTGAGGAAAATAATCCTAAGACTGAGATGCCATTTCACAAAACTTAAGGACCCTTTCTGCAGAAGATCTTTGTGTTAATGTTAGGTGGAAACTATCAGAAATTTAAGCCATGGTCTAGAAATGAGAGCCATACAAAAGTATATTCCAAAGACACAAAGAGATGTAAAAAGTTTGCTCTTGATATATGAATTTTATTGTATTATTATTATTATCATTATCATCATCATCATTTTATTATTTACTGCCCAAGGCAGTTAATCTATTAATTCCTTGGATTTATAAAAATCTTTGAAGGCTGCTAGGTAGGAAACTAAAATAAAAGGAGCACTGTCCTCTCCTTCTTTTTTTAAATCCCAAATATAAGATTTCTGAAACTAGGAAATTATAAGAAAGAGTAAATTGGGATAAAAATCCACAAATCTGGGAGATTCCAATATTGTAGGTAAACATGTTTAAAGGGACTTGGAAAGTTAACAAATTAGGAACACTAACTTAGGTTACTATGGATGACAACTGGCCCTAAGCATAGACACCAGATCAAAGAATTTCCATTATCTAACAATCAAGGTATTTTAGGAATAAATTGCTTTTCATTTTTTCTACATTTGCTTATAGATATCGCAAGCAAAAACATTTTTGAAAGAATTAACGTCTGATGAGGTTAACACAAATATATACTAGGCAGGACTTTCAGTCATTAACAAATTATTTTTACCTTTTTATAGTATAAAATTGATTTTGGAATAATAATATTTAAGGAACTGAGAAAAAATTAAGTTCATTACCACTTCCGATTAAATTTTGACACTGTTTGTCAAAAGACCGACATATTCCATCAAAGCAGTAGCCTCTACCCGAATCACACTCTTGTCCGTTGCGAGAAAAAGTGTTGTCCACACAGTATGCATTTTTCCCATCACAAAATTCTTTGAAATCACAGAAAGAATCAAATGATTTCCTACAAAGTATATTAGCTGGTTTTATCTAGGAGAGGAAAGAATCATAAGAATAGTATCAATGATACTTAATTTTCTTTCTCTTTAGGTTCTAAATTCCCATTCAATATTTTTCCTAAATTGTCAAAAGCAATTTTAAAAATGGAAATTGCAACCCTGAGTGGTGGTACATGCTGGTAATCCCAGAGGCTTGGAAGGCTAAGGCAGGAAGACTGCAAGTTCAAAGCCAGCCTCAGCAACTTAGAAAGGCCCTATCAAGGGCTGGGGATGCTGCACAGTGATTAAACCTCCCCTGGGTTCAATAACCACCACCCCCCACCGCAAAGTAAAAAGAAAAGAAAATCTCTTGTTATCTACTAAAGCATCACATAGATATTAACGAATTTCTTGTGCACATAAACAGTGGATAATGTTTCTAAGAGATGTTAGAATCTCAAAGATAAGCAGGCTGCTAAAATAGGAAGGAGCTAAAAAAGTAATACAAAAATTCCTTGTAAGCCATTATGGCTATGGGCAGCTTCTGAAGTCTCTGTATTATCAATCTTAAGAAACCAGAAAATATTTATGAAATGGTAATACACATCATAAATATTTTGAAAAATATTGATTTTAAAATAAGATAGTTTGAGGATACACAACACAAAGTTTATTTCATATATCATGTTGTTAACAACTAAGAAAATAATTTCTGCAGTTAGTATTCAGTGCTTATGATTTAGCTGATCTATTTCAGGGCTGCCTTCTGCATGCTTGATTGGGCAAAGAAACATTTAATCATCAACTCTGGAAACTGTCTTCTCATCAATATAAGCCCCAATTCCTCATCATTATCTTATTCAAAGTAAGTTTTCTAGTTTTCAAAGGTCCCAGAGGCCAGCTGATATAATATTCATCTCCCCAAAATAGGTTTCTCAGTACTTTTTCTTGAGCATTGAAAATTATTTGTAGCAAATATCACTGAAATTCTCCAAGTGATAGACAACAATAGAAAACATAGTATCTACTTGTGTCACCCAAACTTACAGAATTAACATTCAACTCAAAACCAATGAAAAAAATTTAAAATGAATAAAAGTATAATAAGAAAGTATCAACACTATTTTCTCACAACTTGCTTCCTTTTACAAATTTGTATTAATGAAAATTTTACTTTTATTCTAACATATTTTTCATACCTATGAATACTCAGTTTCTCAAATGCTGTCTGAACCAAGCTGAAATTTCCTACTACCTCCATGATTAATGAGTAGAGAGAAAAAAAAAAAAAAACATGTGTGTTGGATTTCTTTCCTTGACTCTCTTGATCAATTTGCTGTTGCTGGAAAATTTTAAATACTATTTTTGTTTATGACATTTTTCCTTCTAATTGTGGGGGTGGGGAGGGGGGTAAACATTTTATTCTTACCAAGACTCTCACTTTGTACATGTTTTGTCTATTGTACATGTTTTGTCTAAATGCATGGTCAAAGTTTTTTCTCCGTCTGTAACTGGACCAGGAATGAGCAAATTCATTTATAACCTCTGATTGCCCCCACTACCATCTTGATTACATATTAATGAAACTACCATTATCTGTCAAAAAAATCATAAGTTGAACTATGTACCTTTTCACAACTGGATCTAGGGACCAATGTGAAATGTGTTTATTACCAAGTCTCGAAACATATTTTTTTAAATGTATACTTGGGCACAGGAAAATGTACTTTATTCAGTCAAAAATAATTCTACTTGATGCAGCAATGACAAAGAAATTGATAATCAATAAAACACTTTCCTATGATAGATAAAATAGAAACTAAATTTGTTTCAAGTCATATCTAATGTAAACAACTAACATTATGAGATGTTTAGTGATAGAAAAGTAGAACTGCATGTACTCATAATGAAATCAATGAAATAATATCAGAAATTTTCCAAACATAAAGAATGAAGTGGAAATCAAATACAAGAGTCTTACAGGACACAAAATGTACAAAAATCACAATAGATCTACATAAAGTCACATTATGATGAAAATGCCTATCATACAGAATATGGAGATAATTTTAAAAGCCACAAGAGATAGGAATCAGATTACATATAGAGAAAGAGATTTTGGGGGAGATAAGTATGGGGAAGACAATAGAGAGAGTACAAAAAACAAATAAACATAAAAATAAAAAAATAAAAAATGTAAAAATAAAAAAAGTATGTACAACACAACTGTAATATGCATATTAATTCATCACATCGCATAGCCTTAAAGGTAAGAATCATATGATCATCTCAATAAATGCAGAAAAAGCATTCAACAAAATACAGCACACCTTCATGTTCAAAACACTAGATAAACTAGGGCTAACAGGAACACATCTTAACATAGTAAAAGCTATCTATGATAAGCCCACGATCAATATCATTCTAAATGGAAAAAAAATTGAAAGCATCACCTCTAAAAACTGGAACAAGACAGGGATGCCCTCTTTTACCACTCCTATTTAACACAGTTCTTGAAACTCTAGCCAGAGTAGTTAGACAGATGAAAGAAATTAAAGGGATACAGATAGGAAAAGAAGAACTCAATCTATCAGTATTGCCAATGATATGATTCTATACCTAGAGGATCCAAATAATTCCATCACAAAACTTCTAGAACTAACAAATGGATTCAGCAAAGTAGCAGGATATAAAATCAACACCCATAAATCAAAGGCATTTCTGTACATCAGTGAAAATCCTCTGAAAAAGAAACTAGAAAAACTACTCCATTTACAATAGCCTCAAAAATAAAATAAAATACTTGGGAATCAACAAAAGAGGTGAGAGACCTCTACAATGAAAACTACAGAATGCTAAAGAAGGAAATTAAACAAGACCTTAGAAGATGGAAAAAAATCTCCCCTATTCTTGGATAGGCAGAATTAATATTGTCAATATGACCATACTAACAAAAGCACTGTACAGATGTAATGCAATTCCAATCAAAATCCCAATGACATTCCTCACAGAAATAGCAAAAGCAATCATGAAATTCATTTTGAAAATCATCAAACCCAGAATAGCCAAAGCAATCCTTAGCAAGAAAACTGAAGTAGGTGGCATCACAATACCAGAACTTAAACTATACTATAGAGCAATAGTAACAAAAAGGTATGGTATTGGCACCAAAATAGACTTGTAGACCAATGATACAGAATAGAAGACACAGAGACAAACCCACATAAATACAGTTATAGTAGACAAAGTTGCCAAAAGCATATATTGGAGAAAAGATAGCCTCTTCAACAAATGGTGCTAGGAAAACTAAAACTATACATGCAGCAAAATGAAACTAAACCCCCCTCTGTCACCATGCACAAAACTCAACTCAAAGTGAATCAAAGACCTATGAATTAGACCAGAGACTCTGCATCTAGTAGAAGAAAGAGTAGGCCCACATCTTGATTATGTCAGATTAGGCTCCTACTTCCTTAACAAGAGTCCTAAAGAGAAATAAAATTAAAAAGATTCCTAAAGAAATAAAACCAAGAATCAATAAGTGGTATGGATTTAAACAGAAAAGCTTCTTCTCAAAAAAAGAAACAATCAGTGAGGTGAATAGAACACCTACAGAAGGGGAGCAAGTTTTTACCACATGCACATCAGATAAAGCAATATTCTCCAGGACATATAAGAACTCAAAAAACTTAACACACACACACACACACACACAAAACCCCAAACAACCCAATCAATAAATGGGCTAGGAAACTTAACAGATACTTCTCAGAAGACATACAATTGATCAACAAATATATGAAAACATGTTCAACATCTCTAGCAATTAGAGAAATGCAAATCAAAACTACTTTAAGATTTCATCTCACTCCAGTCAGAATGGCTCAATCCACAATAGCTAAATTGTGGAACCTTAACCCAATTAGTAAATCAATCCTCTGATGGCATTAACTAATGCCTGGGTAGGATGTGGTGGAGGGGGAAGAGTCCCTGGGGATTGCCTTTGGGATATATATTTTGTATTTGGAGAGTAGTTCCCTCTCTCTCTCTGCTTTCTGATCACATGAGCTGCTTCGTTCTGGCCATATTCTTCCACCATGATATTCAGCTTCACCTGGAGCCCCTGGGGAATGCAGCCAGATGTCTGTGGTCTGAGAGCTGTGAAACAAACCATGAGCCCCAAAATAAACTTTTTTGCCTTAAACTTTTTCTTATCAGATAGTTTAATTAAAGCAGCAAAAAAGATGACTAAAATACCAGCTAAGTTGCTTGGGGCCTTGATAAATTGCAAGCCTGCTCTGAAATTGCAATCCTCCTGCCTGAGCCTCCCAAGCCACTGCACCCAGCTTATTTCTTTTACTATAATAAATAACACTGGTTTATTATCAAATATTAAATCATACTTATATTCTTGAAATAAGCCCATATTTACCTTGTTAATATGCATTTTGGATTTCTACATATAGGTTCATGAGTGAGTTTGGATTCTAGTTTGATTTTTTTTCATAAAAATCATGCACTGATTAGGTTAAAGCTTCCATAACCTGATCATTTCCCCTGTAAACATTCTTACAGTGTTTCACACATGAGCTTTTAGAGACACCACATATCCCAACCATAGTACTGTACTAATTTAGATTTCCACCAGCAGGCTACAAAAAAAAAAAAAAAAAAACTCCTTTCCCCTACTTCCTCACCAGCATTAATTCTGACTTGAATTCTTGAGGATTACACTCTAAGCAGGGTGAGATGAATTCTCAGTGTTGTTTTGATTAGCATTTTCATGATGGCTAATGATGTTGAACTTTTTTTTCATACACTTGGCCATTTGCACTTCTTTAGAAAATGTCTATATTAGTTACTATGTCCATTCATTGATTGGGTGATTTGGGTTTGTTTGCTTGTTTGGGGGAGGGGTTGTGTTCATATGTTCTACGTATGAATCCTCTTTTGGAAGAGTAGCTTTCCTTTCATGCCTTTTTTTTTCATGCTTGTTTTGCTCTACAGAAGTGTTTAATTTGAAACCAATACCTTCTATTGACTCTTGATATTATTTTCTGAACTTTAGGAATTCTGTTCAGGAAATCCTTGTCTGCACTTATATGTTAGAGAGTTTCCCCTATGTTTTCTTTTAGGACTTGCAAAGTTTCTCATCAAATTCCTAGGTCTCTGACCCATTTTGAGTTCACTTTTTTGCAGGATGAGAAGGATCTCCTTTCATTTTTTTTTTTACATAGGGTAATGTGTTTTCCCAGGATCATTTTTTACATAAATTTTCAAAGGACACACACAAAACACATACACTCTCAGCACTTATGAATAAAATCCACAATTTCCCAAATTTTAGAAGAAGTCAATGGTTTCCTTATACATTGAAACTGGGTCACATTTTGTAGTTGAGTTAAAAAACAAAATGAAACAAACAAACATATATATTATATTTCATGAACCACCACACACATTTTAGTTATTATTCCCCTAAAGAATAATATATTTAAAATAATATATTAATATATTATTAATTATTATTATTGTTATTAATATATAATAATATATTAAAATATATTTCCTTTTAAATCACTACTCCCTCTCAATTTCCAATTCATTTTCCTTTTAACCCAGTGTTAGGACAGGAGATTACCCTTGGTAGAATTGTCGATGCTGATGGAATTCACTCATTCATTTACTCATTATCTCAGTTTACTTTGTATTGTTATTACAGTATATAATTGACTGGATAATTAATAAGGAAAATATATTTGTTTTCTAGAAGGAGGCCAGAAAGTTTATGACTAAGGGACCTACTTGCTGCATCATCCCATGGTGGAATGTGGAAGGGAAAGAGGCAGGTGTGTGCATATGTGTTAATGAAAGAGAGGGAAGATGGAGAGGAGGAGGCTCAACTCAATTCTTTCATTAGGAACTCACTGCTGGGGTGTGGAACCCACTGATTATTAATGGAATCAATATATTTATGAGGTCAGAGCTGCCCAAACCTAATAACCACTTCAAGGTCCCACTTTGCAAAACTGCTGCATTAAGGATAAAGTTTTCAACCTATCATCTTTGGAGAACATATTTAAACCATAGCACCTATTGATATTTTTTAGGGCCTACTAAATGCCAGTCTCTATTCTAGATATATGTCATATAAAGACACATTTCTAACTATTACATGTTAGAGAGGACATAGTAGGTGTTATGCTAGGTGTTCTTTTTAAAGGTTATCTTTTCTCCAACATGTGTTTTGGGCACATTTGTCAAGGATGATTGTATCCATGTGTACTTGTCTCTGAATCTTCTATTCTGTTGGTCTACATGTCTTTTATGCCAGTTCCACGTGTTTTTTGTTACTATAGCTCTGTAGTATAATTTTAAAAATGGTACTGTGATTCCTCCAGCATAGCTCTTCATGCTTGGAATCAATGTGGCTATTCTGATTGTTTTTTTTTTCTTCCATATTAATTTTAAGCTATTCTTTTTCTAGTTTTGTGAAGAATGTCATTGGTATATTGATAGAAATTTCATTGAATCTGTAGATTACTTTTAGTAAAATTGCCATGATAACAATGTTAACTTTGCCTATATGTGAACATGGAAGTTTTTTTTCATCTTCTAGTATCTTCATTTATTCATTTTTCATTGTTGTGTAATTTTCCTTGTAGAAGCCTTTTATATCTTTCATTACATTTATTCCTATGTTTATCATTTTTTCTTGGATAATTTTCCTGACTTCTTTTTCAGATTCATTATTGGTATATAGAAAAGCTGTATCCTTATTTTATATCCTACTACTTTACTGAATTTTTTTACCTGCTAGAATTCTTCTAGGTATAGGTTCACATCATCTGCAAACGGACAATTTGAGTTCATTTTTTTTTATAATTTCTGTCACTTTTGTTGCATTTCTAGTCTCATTTAATTCTAAGAATTTTTAATATCTCCTCTAATCTCTTTAATGACACATTCATCACTTAAAAATGTATTCCATGCATTTGTGTAGTTTTTGTGGTGACCTTGCTGTTGATTTCTAATTTCATTATATCATGATCTAATAAGATTCAAGGACACATTTCAACATCCTCATATTTGCTAAAACTTGCTTAATATGAACAATTTTTGACAAAGTTTCATGCAAGATGAAAAGAAAGTTTATTCAGCTGTTGTTGGATGAAATATTCTGTAGATGATTGTTAAGTCCATTTGATCTATAATATATTATGATTCTGTAGTATCTGTTATGCCTGAATGATCTATTAGTGATGGAGGTATTGAAATCACCCAGAATTATTTTATTAGCACCAATCTGAGGCTTTATGTCTAGTATGTTTATTTTATCTAATTAGGTTCAGCAATGTTTAGGGCATAATAACTTATTCTCATTGTACCTTCTTGTTGGATTTTCATCAATATGTACTGATCTTCTTTGTCTCTTCTAACAAATTTTGGCTTGAAGCCTACTTTGTTGAATATGGATGCACCTGTTTTCATTCAGTTCTATTTACATGGAATATCATTTTCCATTTTTTAAACTTTTAACCTATTAATGTCTTTGCCTATGAGGCAAACAGAGAACACACATCTTTTAGTGTATGTCTTTTAATTGAAGAATTTATACCATTTACTTTCAGTGTTATGATAGAGTGGTCATATTGATTTATTTCTGATGTTAGATTCAATTATATTTCTCATTTGCCTATCTACTTTTTTAATGAGACTGACCACTCCTTATTATTTCCTGATTTTCTAACCTCTCTTTGTTCTTTTTATCTTCTTCTGTGTGGAGGATGCCTTTAAATATCTTCTGCAAGTCTTGCTTAGCAGTCATTAATTCCTTTAGTTTCTGCTTATCTTAGAAGGTTTTTATTTCTTCTTTGATTCTTAAGGACAGCTTTGCTGAATGAAGCAATTTTGGTTAGCAGCTGTTTTTTTCAAGAATTGAAATTATACCCCAAGCCCTACTAAGATTCATATTAAAGCATGAAATACCCAAATACACAAAGCAATCCTCAGGAAAAAAAAAAAAATCAACGCTGGAAGTACAACAGATCCAACAGACACACATACCTGTGGAGTAAAATAGGGAACCCAGCCACCATGGAAATCCATGTGGAGGTTTTTCAAAAAATAAAAATAGAATTACCATATGATTCAACTATGATATCCAAGTCAACATTAGAAGATAAATCTGCATACCTATCTTTATTAAAATATGATTCACAGTAGCCAAGGTATAGAATCAGGCTAGGAGATCATCAAAATATGAATATAAGAAAACATGACAAGTATACACAAAAATTAAATATTATTATTTGAAATTAAATGTTTACAGCTGGAGAACATTATATTAAACAAAATAAAGGAGACACAGAAATACAAGTATTGCATATTTCCTCGTATACAACACTTTTTTAAAAAAGTGAATAAACCTGAAATAGATGAGAGACTACTAAAGAAAGGTATAGAAGATCAGGGGGAAGTAGCAAAAGAGAAAAACAAGAGAGACTAGTAGAAAGGTTGGTTAGGATTAAAGCATGAAATATGCATGTATGAAAATGTTGCAGTTAATCACATTAATTTGAATAATTATACTATATGAGTTAATATTTATAATAAAGCAATTAAAAACAGATAAAGAAGAAATGTAAAAATCATGTTTTCATCACTACCTATTTTTTTCTCTTTTCATTCTGATCTAATCCTTATATTTGGGTATGTCTTCTTTCTCTTCTATGTCAATAATTTAAGCCACAGCTATTCTAATATTCACTACATTATGTTGATATTATGTTTAATTTGCAAATGTACTTTGTAATCTTCATTTCATATACCTTTAATTTTATTTTATTCCATTCCCTTCTTCTGATGCTCTCTTAATAAGTTAAGGATTGCAATTTTTTAAGATCATTTTCCTGAACTAGCTTTTGAATTATATAATAATTTAATTTTAAAATCATATACTTTCTCTAATCTATGGATTTTGTTATTTACCTTATTCAGAATTTTTTTCTTAGAACCCAGTAAACTATGCTGGGTACATGTGGAAAATGATTTGGAACTTCTTTAAATAGTGTTAATAAAGCAGCAATGAATTATTGCAATAATACCTGAATGAATTGTAAAAGAAAATACTATTTTATCTGAAGACAGTGAAGTAAATTTGTCCAATAAAACACTAACTTTATAATCCTATGTAACTTTGATTTTTTAAAAAACATGAGTATAAGATAATTGCTACGGGCATGGTGATTATAGAAAAAATTTAGAGGGTTCACAGGAAGATTCATAATGGCCTATAGAAATGGGAAGTCAAGTTGGGAGAGTAAAAACATCAGACATATGACAGTATAGGAAACGAAAGATTACTAAATGGAATAAAGTATGCAATTGGGTCCAATTGTATTTGAATATAATACAGAAAAAGGCCAAATGTGGTATCAATGTTTTCTATCTCCTTAAAACACACATACCTCAAGTAAAGAACATTGAATTATTATCAACTACAAATTGCCACTTACCTTGCACTGTACTGTACAGCATTCTCCAGAGCCACATACTGCTGAGGGTTTTAACTTACATGATGAAGGATCACAGCAGTCTTTATGTGTACAATTCTGTAAAGGAATACTAGGTGTTATGAATCATACATAATTGAGTACCATCAAATAAAACTGCAACACAAAACTTTACAAACTACTTTTTTTCACACTTTTAGTTTTAGTAGTCTCATTTTTATATGATATTTACAGAAATCAACATTTCATTTAGAATTTTGTTAATGTGTTGTTTCTGTACATTAAATATAACTTGAAAAAAAGAAAAAAATATAACTTGAACAATACCACTATGAAGCCAAAACTTAGAGGGATATTATGAAGTACTTTATTAACTATCATTTTCTTTAAATATTTGTATATTCCTGCATTTATTTTATTTTATTTTTTGTACTGGAGATTTAACCCAAGGGTGGTTTACCACAGAGTAAAAAATTGAGGAATCTAAATAAAATGAATGCATTATATCAGTATTGATTTCCTGGTGATATGCTCTAGTATTATAAAATATTAAGATAGGAGAAACTGATCAAGTGTGCAAGGAATCTTTGTATTATTTCTTACAACTCCATGTGACTCTACAATTTATTTTTAAATCTAAAGTTAAAACAGTAATTCAGAAGAATCAGACTAGTGATGAGGATTGTTTCAGGAATTTACATCTAATTATTGTGCTTATACTTACCTTTTTGTTTACACACATATTATATTAAAAGAAGGTCATGTTTAAGTAAGTCTAAAATAGCTTTAGTTACTAAAATAAATTTCTAAGCATCAAAAATACTAAAAATAATAAATAAATGAAATTAATTATTCAATTGCATAGTCACATAAGGCCATTTTAAGTGCTCAATAACCATAGGTGGATAGTATTAGACAACTCATATTAGATTTTGAACAGAATAGATGAACATTTCCATCTCTACATAAAGTTCTATTGATCAGCACTCCCTAGAAGGCTTATGAATTGTTGTTTAATTATGTCTAATGGTTTTACATTTTTTAACTGGATCTATCACATTAGTTTTTTATTTATTTATTTTTTCTGTTGTTACTGGAGATTTAACCCAAAGATGCTTAACCACTGAGCCACATCCCCATCCCTTTTTTTTTTTTTTTTTTTTTTTAGAAAGGGTCTCACCCACCTGCTTGATGCCTTCATAAATTTCTGAGGCTGACTGTAAACTTGCAATCCTCCTACCTGAGCCTCCCAAGCCTCTGGGATTACAGATGTGTGTCATTGCACCAACTTATTTCTTTTACTGAAGTAAATAAGACTGGTTTATTATTAAATATTAAATCATGCTTATATTCTTGAAGTAAGCTCATATTTATCTTGTTAATATGCATTTTGGATTTCTACATATAGGTTCATGAGTGAGTCTAACTTCTAGTTTAGTTTTTTTTTTTTCTTACAATGTTCTTCACAAATTGTTTTTTGGTTTTGGGGGATTCTTTTGGTATCAAGTTTACACTGGCTTCATAAAATGAACAGAGAATTGTTTGTGAAAACAATTGAATTATTACTTCTTTCAGTATTAGAAAGAATTTAACAGAGAAGTCATTTGGTGTATTTAAAGTATTTAAAATATGAATACAACTATTTAAATAGTTATAAAACAATTCAGATTTTATTAATATAAAATGTCTCATCATATACTCTCTGGCTGAAAGTTTTGGTGTTTTCTCTTTTTCAGTCATGATATTGGTTGTTAATGCCTTTTCTTATTTGGCTTCATTTATTTTTTCTGAATTTTTTTACTTTTTCAGTTCAAAGGAAGCAGATTTTCTCCCCAGGGTCTCTATTTCATAATGGTTGTATAAGATGATTTTTGATCTTTATTGTTGTTGTTCTACTTTTATCAAGTTAAATTTGTTTTTTTCTAACACTTTGAATGAACATTTACTTTACTGGGTATTCTGCCTTTTTCCCCTTTTCTAATATAAACATTTAAATATATAAATTTTCATTGAAATACAATACATACTATAAGTTTTGGCCTGCTTATATTCTCCAAAGGCTTGACTTGGCTAAAGACTGAGGGCCAGCTGGCAGTAATTGGAACAGAATACTGAAATATTTGATATATTTTTATTGCCAAAAGCTTTTCAATAAAATAATACCAGTGTACACTCAGTCTCTTACTGTGTAATTTTAATCTTTTGAAAATTTCCAAGACTAATTGGATATTTTTTAAATTCCATGTTTAAAGATAATGTGGAAGCCTAATGTGGTGATATATGCCTGTAATGCCAATGACTTGTGAGGCTGAGGGGGAGGGCTGCCTATTTAAGGCCAGCCTCCACATCTTCATGAGGCTTCAAGCAATTTAGTGAGAATCTGTCACAAAAGAAGAAAAAAGAAAAAAAAAAGAGGGAAAGGGGCTGGGTATAGCTTAGTCATAAAGTATCTCTGTGTTCAATTCCCAATACAGAAAAAAATAAAACAAGAGTGAGATGGAGAGAGAGAGAGAGAGTTACAACAAAATATATTTTTAAATAATGTATACTGAGCAGCTGTAAAAAAATATTCTGAACATTATAATTAGGTCATTATTATGTTGTTCAAATACTATATGTCTTTAATGACTTTTTATTTTTCTTTTTTTATTTATATATGACAGCAGAATACATTACAATTCTTATTACACATATAAAGCACAATTGTTCATATCTCTGTATACAAAGTATATTCACATCCATTCATGCATTTTGGATAATAATGATCATCACAGTCCACCATCATTTATAACCCCATGTCCCCCTCCTTTCCCCTCTCACCCTTCTGCCCCATCTAGAGTTCACCTATTCCTCCCATGCTCCCTCTCCCTATCCCACTATGAATCAGCCTCCTTATATCAAAGAAAACATTTGGCATTTGGTTTTGGGGGATTGTCTAACTTCACTTAGCATTGTCTTTTCTAACTCCATCCATTTACCTACAAATGCCATGATTTTATTCTTTTATTGCTGAGTAAAATTCCATTGTGTATATATGCCACATTTTTTATCCATTTATCTATTGGAGGGCATCTTGGCTCCACAGTCTAGCTATTGTGAATTGTGCTGCTATGAACATTGGTGTGGCTGTGTCCCTGTAGTATGCTGTTTTAAAGTCCTTTGGGTATAGACCAAGGATAGGGTTAGCAGGGTGAAATGGTGGTTCCATTCCAAATTTTCCAAGATATCTCCATACTGCTTTCCACTATGGCTGCACCAATTTGCAGTCCCACCAGCAGTGTATGAGTGTACATTTTTCCCCACATTCTAGCCAACACTTGTTGTTTGTATGCACAATAGCTGCCATTCTGACTGGAGTGAGACAAAATCTAAGAGTGGTTTTGATTTGCATTGCTCCAAATGCTAGTGATGATGAACATTTTTTCATGTATTTGTTGATTGATTGTATATCCTCTTCTGAGAATTGTCTCTTCAGGTTCTTGAACCATTTACTGATTGGCTTATTTGTTGTTTTGGTGTTTAGCTTTTTGAATTCTTTATATACCCTAGAGAAGAGTGCTCTGATGTGTGAGAGGTTAAAAATTTGCTCCAAAGATGTAGGCTCTCTATTCACCTCACAGATTGTTTCTTTTGCTGAGAAGAAACTTTTTAGTTTGAGTCCATCCCATTTATTGATTTTAGGTATAGAACCATATCATCAGCAAATAGTGCTAATTTTAGTTCTTCTTTTCTTATGTTTATCCCTTTAATTTCTTTCATCTAATTGCTCTGGCCAGTGTTTCAAGAACTATGTTAAGTGGAAGTGGTGAAAGAGGGCATCCCTGACTTTTTCCAGGTTTTAGAGAAAATGCCTTCAATTTTTCTCCATTTATAATTATGTTGGCCTGGGGCTTAACATAAATAGCCTTTATGATGTTGAGATATTTCTGTTAACCCTAGTTTTTCTAGTGTTTTGAACATTTTGTCAAATGCTTTTTCTGCATCTATTGAGATGATCATATGATTTGTTAAGTTTATTAATGTGATGAATTTCATTTATTGATTTCCATATGTTGAAACAAACTTGCATCCCTGGGGTGAATCCCACATTATAGTGGTGCACAATCTTTTTGATATGTTTTTGTGTTCAATTTGCCAGAATTTATTGAGAATTTTTGCATCTATGTTCATTAGAGATATTGATTTGAAGTCTTCTTTTTTTCATGTGTCTTTGCCTGGTTTTTGAAATCAGAGTGATATTGGCCTCATAGAATGAATTCAGAAGTGCTGCCTCTTTTTCTATTTCCTGAAATAAATTGAAAAGTATTGGTATTAATTCTTCTTTAAAGGTCTTGTAGATCTTGGCTGTGTATCTGTCTGGTCCAGGGCTTTTCTTGGTTGGTAGACTTTAATGGCATCTGCTATTTCATCACTTGAAATTGATCTGTTTAAATTCTGTATATCATCCTGATTCAATTTGGGCAAATTATATGACTCTAGAAATTCGTTGATGCCTTCAAAATTTTCTATTTTATTAGAGTACAAGTTTTCAAAATAATTTCTAATTATCTTCTGTATTTCTGTTGTGTCTTTTTTGATATTTCCTTTTTATTGCATATGTTTGTGATTTGAGTTTTCTCTTTCCTTCTCTTTGTTAGCATGTTTAAGGGTCATGTTTTAGTTTTCTCTTTCCTTCTCTTTGTTAGCATGTTAGCATGTTAACAATTTTATTTATTTATTTTCAAAGAAACAACTTTTTTTCTGACAATTTTTTCAATTGTTTCTTTTGTTCAATTTCATTGATTTCAGCTCTGATTTTAATTATTTTCTGTCTTCTGCTGCTTTTGGTGTAGATTTTCTCTTCTTTTTCTAGGGCTCTTAGATATAATGTTAAGTCATTTATTTGTTGACTCTTCTTTTAAGGAATGAACTCCATGCAATGAACTTTCCTCTTAGAATTGCTTTCATAGTGTCCCAGAGATTTCTATATGCCATATGTGCATTCTCATTTACCTCTAAAAACTTTTTGATCTACTCATTGATGTCTTCTGTAACCCATTGCATAGTACATGATCTATTGTAGAGAAGGATCCACGTGCTGCTAAGAAAGTGTATTCTCA